GTGTTCAAGTTGTGCTAAAAGCCTAAAGTAGCACCCCAAAGCTAAACATGCAGCAGTGCCATTGTCGGTGTCCACAGTCCACATTTCTAAAGAAGTTCCTTGAAACACTTGAAAACTGAATAACAATAGTGGCTAAAATAGCAATTTGCACCAATCTGATGGTTGAATAACCTGAATAACACTAAGATAATAAATATTTTAGTTGTTGAGCTTTTATTCAATAATTAAGCAGCAAAAAGGGTTATTGAATAATATCACAGCATTAGTCCTACAATTATTGATAACTCTAGCATTCACTTTAATTAAATGTTAACCAAGTATTTTTTTATGTGTTTTTACATTTGAGTTGATCAGAGGGTATACCATAAATATGATGGTCATGAGGGTCATTTTAGCAAATTTAAAAATACTTTATTGATCCCAAAGGAACATTAAATGTTGTAACTCACATTAATGTAGCTTTAGATGGCTCTGTGGAGATTTTTTTAGTGATGCAACCTTTCTAACCTAAAGCAGCATTTTTCATTACATCTCTAAGAACTAACAGCTGCTTTTGCAGCACCTGAACTGTCCAGCAAACATGTAGAAGCTCTAAGTCGTCATCTGGTTTACAGTGGGACAAACAGTCAGTGTGATGAGCTCAACAGGTGGCAACGTAGGTTCCAATATATCTAGCTTCCATGTACCCTGCTAGCAGGCAATTTGACATGAAAAAGCTGTTTTGCTGTAACATTTTTGTTGCACCCAAATCATCTGATTAAAGATTTTAAAAAGTCCTTTATCTGCATCAGCCACCTCTCCTGGATGAGTCAAATTTGTATCCTTTTTTTATTTCATTTTGGAGGGACTAGAGTGGCTCCCGGGCCACGTTTCGGACAGCGCTGTCTTAATGTTTTGCTACCAGCTTTCACCTGGTTTCTTCCAGCAGACTTCTGTCAGTTCCTCAGTTTCCTGAGAGCGTGTTTTTTGGCGTGAGTGTGAACTAGCAGGCGTTTCCTTCTGCTCTTCCTAACAGCCTCATTATCCTCTAAATACTGGTTTGACATCAAAGGTGGCGTCACTCCTCACACCTCCATCTCCTCTGGGTCCACACACTTCCTCATGCATGGACCGGTCTGCAGAGGCAGGTCCAACGTCCCTCTGTGGCTGTAGGAACGGTGACCTTGGTGGTGGCAGGCTGGACCAGGGAGGGAACCGGTTTAAAAAACACCTTCCTTCGATGTTCCTGGACCAGACGTTCCATGTGACTGTCTTTGACTCTGAATGTGTGAACAAAAGGTGACTAAGATCAGCCCCCATTTCTCTGATGCCAAGCAGATGAAGTTAGAGTAAATATACATTTATTTTATGTCTATGAAGTACACCAAGATCATAATTCAGTTCAATAAATTTAAATCTGCCTTTCAATGAGGCTTGTTTGTCAGATTAATTAGCAACCGTAAAGCAGGTAATAAACATGCTTTCATTAAGGTCACATTTCTGCTAAAAATGTTTTTTTGTTTGTTTGTTTATTGGTCTTAAAATCTTAAAGGGGCAGTATTATGTGTTTTCCAGGCATACAGTTCAATTTCATAGCACATTCAAACAACTATGTTAACTTCAGTTGTTAAAAAATGCTATAACAAATATGACTTAAATTAAATTTGACTTTGTAATTTAACACCTTGAAATTGGGCCTCTGTCTCTTTAAGAAACTCCTGCTCTTTGTGAAACTCCGCCTTCAGGAAGTCATCACAACATGGCTCCTCTATTGACCCTTTTACCACTGTTGGACTGAGAAGTAACTCCTATAATGAGCTCAGCAGGTGTGCAGTACCACCAGATGTTTGCTAATTGCTGCTGGCTAGTCTGAAGGAGCTCAGTAGGGGAGTCAAGGTAGAGGGAGGCTTTATAAGCTTGGAAAATGCAGCTCAGAGGATAAGCTGCATCTCGAGGAGCAGAGCTAGGTCCACACAGGTGTTTTACACAGCTGAATGGTTGCCATGGAGATTATTGCTTCATGCAGACATGCATGAAACAATCAAGACAACACTCCAGGTAAGTTTCTGATGATTGAATAACATTATAACATGATGTAAAGTTCAATTTTACATAACACTGCCCCCTTAAGGGAGGCAAAATCTCAAACTGTTATAGCTTTGTTTCAAGAAATTACTTCACTAACTCAGTTATAAGATTAAAAGACTGCAAGACATTGAATAAATAAATATGACTCCATACATTTTACTGGGTTTTTCCAATTTTTGAGAAACAAACTCACTACAGAAATAATCCATCAAATTCTGAACAAAAACTGAATATTTCAGCTATGTACAGATTAGCTTGTCATCAGACTACAACAGCTAGCTTCCATGATGAAGGACCATTTAACCAAAGTGACTGCAAGGTCTCTCCGCTATCAGCTGGGGTAATTGGAGGTGTTCCCCAGCCAGCCGGTTCTCCAGCCCTGCAATCACTGGCTAATATTTAAATGCCCCGCTCCATCCAGCCCCATCTGATGAAGGGAGTCGCAGTGCCTGCTCATCCACTGGGACCGGTCTCGCTGGCCCCCATCAAAGCCCGGGGAGCCTTTGATGAGGTTGATAGGGATCAATGGGACGAGGGTAGAGGCCTTAACTGACTGTGTTACAGACGGGGCGGGCAACTGCTGGAGACTGCCGGCAATGGAGATCAATGATTATTAGGCGCCATCAGCGCCTTGATCTGCATAGAGGAATCCATTCACCATCAAAGGGCCATCTTCTGAGGTGTTTGGCAGATCCCAGCTTTCTGTGTCAAAGGCCACATCTTGGCCTGTTTTTCTTTTCTCCTCCCCATTTGTTCTGTTTATTCTAAACGGTTGATGCAAAGAAGGGTGACACTGTACTAGTTCTGGGAGTGAATCTGAAGATCTGTTTCCCCACTAACAGAGAGGATAAGTTTCAATAATCGTCTGGGATAACAAGCTGCTGAGCAAATTCTACCAAACAGGAGAGTAACGGTAGAAACGTGGCTGGTTTTAGGCAACCTGAGGAATACACGGATTAGCTGGAACAGTGGAAGTAGAAGTGAAAACTACCACAGGGTATTAGGGCGATTGTAGGCAGAAAAAAAGGAGTACAGTTCCACCAAAAATTTCAGAAAGTTTGAGGTTGATCTCAGAAATTTTGTTGAAAAAAACTTGGAAATTTCTGAGTTTCAAAAGTCAAAAAACCTTTTAGGATTTTTTTTCTAGTAAATTTTTGACTTTTTAAACTCACAACTTTCCCAGTCCTTTTTTTGTAGAACATTTCTGAGATTAATCTCAAAACTTTTGGGGGGGGAAAAAAATGGACTTTTTTTTCTACTGTGGTCCTGGTACATTGTCATAGATAACTCTGAAAATGGGGAAAATGAATTAATCAATGGCCTGAGGATCAGACTCACGTTATGGTCCCTCTGGTCAATAGTCAGTCACATACCGCGTGAACATGGCCATTGAATGACTTTGTGCTGTTTTCACACATTTTTCTGCATCTGAATTTTACAAATGATAATTGTCGCCCCACCAGATTTCTTTACTGCCTCCTGGAATCAACCAATGAAAATACAGAAACATGTAGCAAACGGACAGTTTCCCATCTTTCAAATCAACATAATGAAAGGTATTGGAGTGTTTATTGAAGAAGAACTTGACTGCATCAGAAAGTGTAGTAAAGCGTTACTAATCATTTAAAAGTGTATCAGGGGAGTGGTTGCGCTTGAAGCTAATGACTAAATGGGGAAGCTTAGATTGTCGGATTATTTTGGATCCAACAATCCAGAACATTCACATTCACTTGTGAATAAAATCCACAAGTGAAAGATGACCTTTTAAATAAGGCCAATATTCGTGGATTTATTGAAAAAACAAAAAAACAAAAAAAAAAAAAAACAGATTTACCTTTGAATAACCCTACAGTTTGAAAAGATGTGCAAAAAAACTATTTTTTTGGCACAAATAACATCTTAAAGGAGTTTCTGAGTGGGGTAAGATGAACTCGGAGTTGAAAGCTGCTGACTAAAGCGTTTTTAAATCGGTTCATGGAGAGGAGGAGTCGAGGTGAGATTATTCTGGCTCAGTTTGGGGAATCACATGAAGTGATATGAAGGAGTCAGGGACTGCGATCTGTCGGGACATGCGTCCCCCTCCCAGGCTGAGAGAGGGAGGGGCGGCCGAGGTCCGTTTGTGTCCATAACAGAGCAGCAAACAGGCCCATTAGAGATGAAAGACTCAGAATGGAGCCAATCAAAGAGGGGCCCAGCAGGGGGGTCTGTCACCCCGCCGACAGCGGTGGCCTGCGACCGGGTCCAAAGAAGGATCAATGTCCCCCTCCCCCCCCCACCCCACCGACGTCACGGATAAGACGTGCTCACACACAAACACACCACTCACAATCTCACTCACAATCTGTTACCATTCAGAGAAGAATGTTAGCCATTCACCAGACTCCATGTTCCACTTTTGAGGACAAGGCAACACGTAAACAAAGACAGCTGTAGCCAGACAACTGCTGGCCGTTTGGGAAATTTCTAGTTGTTATTTTGTTAGCAAATTTTTCAGGGAGAAGTAGCCGCTTTCTGCAAGACGTTCTAGTTTTTAGTCTATATTTCGAAATGTATCTGATACCGAGTAAATACACGGCCCGCAACACCAATACTGAAACTGATACTGAAACTGATAACGATACTTTTTATTTCAGTTTGATATATTCTCAAACTTCTGACCTTTGGGTGTTTTTGTTGTTTTTCCTTTGAATTATATTCTTCAAACCAACAGGACATAATTTGGACAAAGATTATAGGTGTCTGCAAGACACTTTATTGATATATTAACATGATTTGTGTACATTTTTGCTTGACAAAGTTGAAAAACGTTATCATTAGAGAGCAACTCAAAGCTAAATATTTTTTGAGGTGCAGCTACAATACGAACTAAAAATTCACAAGGTAATCTGAAACTAAAAGTATCAAACTTAGCACGCAACAATTGATCCAAATGCTGATGCTGACTTGGTATAGATATTATCAGTATTATGGATTAATCCACCCAAATGGTTCTGAATGGTTCAAAAACATAAAATGACAGTTTTGGCATGGACTAGACAAAATCTGGAATTATTATTATTATTTCACAGGGGTAGTATTACGCAAAATTGACATTTTGAGCATAACATCATGTTATAATGTTATTCCCTCACCACAAACATACCTGGAGTGTTGCTTTCATGCATCTTTGAGAACTCCTTTAATCTCCCGTGGCAACCATTGAACTGTACAAAACGCCTGGATGGCCCAAGCTCCGCCTTCAGGGATGAAGCTCCTCCCCTGAGCTCATTATACGAGCTACTTCTCAGTGCAACGCTGGTAAAAACAAAAGGTGGAGTTTCAGGAAGAGCAGGCATTTTTAAAGAGACAGAGGCCCAATTTCAAGGCATTAAATTACAAAGTCAAATTTCTTTCAAGTCATATTTGAAATATGTAGCATTTTAATAACAACTGAAGGAAAAACAGTTACTTGATTGTGCTCAATGTGCCTGGAAAATACATAATACTGCCGATATAAGATTTTGTGACACTAGTAAACATTATTTATGTTAATCGGTCAGGAAATGGGCAGAGAAATACAGAAATGGTCAGGAATCAAACCTCTGATGGTTGTGGTGATGACTAGTAGTTTTTTGTTTGTTGTGTTATATTTGCAGATTAGTCTGGTTTTCACAGATTCTTTGTTGAGTTTAGAAACAGCAGAAAGTCCAGACCGTCTCCTGTCCTGTCAACTGTCTCTGCAGTCCTCAGATTGAAGAGTGGGAAGACGGAGAGGAGGCTGATTATCAAACATCCACCCCACCTTACTACATCATCATCATCATCATCATCATCATCATCATCATCATCATCATCATCATCATCATCATCATCATTATCATCATCCAGACAGACAGACAGACAGACAGACAGACAGACAGACAGACAGACAGACAGAGGCAGGCAGCAGTGGAGGTGATAGTGAAAACCAATCACCAGCAGTCCTTTGAACTCTAGACTGAACCAATCAACAATCTGCAGCTTCCTCTGTTTTGTCATTTCTGGTTGACGGTGAAGGTAAACACTGACAGAAACACACAGCCAAGGGATTACTTTGGGATACTTTGTCAAGCTCGACAATTTTAGATTTAAATTCAAAAATGCAACCTGCTGTAAGCCACTTTGGACTCTGAGTCATTCTAGAATGACTCCTTACACAGTGAAAACAAAGATTTAGAACATATATTATTATCTTTTTTTTAACTTTATGACCAATGTCCAAACGGGTCATCTTGGCAGATGAAAGCCCATAAATCTGGCTCTGTTACTGTATAGGGAGGAAAAGTGGGAACAATATTGCAGAAACACACAGATAAGAGCCACACTTTGGTGTTAATCACACCAGAACATTGGTATGTGAATAAGGAACAACTTGTCGCATTTTTGCCCTTACATCTGGCAGCAGTAAGACTGAAACAAGTGGTGACAAAGACACTGATAACAATACAAATGTATTTATACGACTATTTAAATGTTTCAGTTTCATTTTAATTACAACAGTATTTCCTAAGAATTGGAAGAAATTTTTTTCTCATTATTATGTCTGTTATTGACATAGCGCCTAATAAATCATATTTCTGCAACCAGTTTTACAGGGTTTATGGAAAACTCTGGACCCAGTTCTCTAAATAATCAGTGGACAGATTCCTCACAACAATCAAGCAATTTTATAACATTCATTCAGAAATATTATTTCTGGTTATCTTTTTTTTTAAACATTATTTTTAATTGTTAATAATGCCAAAACAAAAATGAACGAATATATTGTATTTGAATCAATCTGAAATCAATGTACAAAAAAGGCTTTTCAGTTCCTTAATGTTGAGGGGTTTTAAATGTTTTAAATCAATAAATATACTAGCCCTAAAAAGCCCTTAGATTTTTTTATACCTAATTATATTTAATTCAGTTTACAAAATAATTAATGCACAAGCCAAAATAAATGAATAAATAAAACATGCATTCATAAAAAATTATAATGAAAGAAAAATATAATGAAAAAAACTGTAAATAATATATGCACAATGATATTATTAATATTATTTATTTAATAACCTTACAGGATCATTTTTTAAATTGAAATATGTGTTAATTTTTTTATTTTTAGTTTTACGTCAAACGCATGCATTTCCTTATTTGCTTGCTTATTTCATAGTTCATTTCCTGGAGCGGGAAATATGAAATAGCTGAAAGGATTCTTGCATGTCCAGCCTCAGACTTACTTTCTGAACATGACTGATGATTGCGTCTCTCCCCCTCATCCCGCCTGTTGATAACAAAGCGCCGACTGCCTTTGAAGTGTCCCGGTAATTACTTTTTAACACTGGTCAGTTCTCGTTTCATCCTCGCGCGCAGATACCGCGCGAAAATATATCAAGAGCCTAAAATACGTGACTTCTTACCATGCGCAGCGCCCGACCTCGCATGTTATCTTATCAATGGCGGCAGAGCCTGTTGTTTGACTTTAATATACCTTTACAATCGAACTACATGTTGAATCCACTCAGCATTTGCGAACAATACGGCGTCGCCAGG